ATGACACTTACTTTACTTACTTTCACCTATGCTAACTTGCCTTAGAGTATCTGTTTGTCCCAGGTGAATACAATAGACATTTGCCTTTGCGTGCACAATCTGAGAGTATCTGTTTGTCCCAGATCTGCGCGACTTGTATTAATCCTTTAGGTTATGAGCCCTGCACTCTAATAGCCTTACGTCTCACATTTTCCTGCGAAATAGCTGTACATTCACAATGTCTACTACTGTGCCCGCCACTATGGATACCCTGCCTACCAATGTGCCCAAACTTGACATTAAGGGCACCAATTGGGCGATCTTCTCGTTGCGCTTCCAGATCGCTGTTGAAGCAAAGGGTTTATGGAAACAATTCGATGGGACTAACCCCAAGCCCATTGGAGCATCCATGACGTCCGGAGGAATGACCACCATATCCCCTCCCGACCCCATCACACTCACTCAGTGGCAGAGAAACATGAAAACCTCGCAAAACACTTGCTTACCCAGCATATCCCCGACTCTACTGCGTTATGTGTGCGGAACTTGTCCAACGTTGTCACAATGTGGAAGGAGATTGTGCGTGAATACACCAAGAAGGGTGCATATGCGCAGACCGACCTCTGTACCAAATTTTTAGAATTGAAGTGTCCAGGCGGAGGAGACGTGCGCACGTTCCTCGATAAACTTCGTGCTAAACGTGACAAGCTGTCAGCAGTAGGAGTCCAATAGAAGAAAAGGACTACCGGTCAACTATAATTCAGTCCCTCCCTAACCATCTTGCCACTTTTGCCTCCGGGCAACTAGCCACTGCTCGACTCTACAGTCTGACCCAAAGCATTGACCTGGATATCCTCATATCGTTGATTATTGAGGAATCCGAATGCCATGGCAGGAAGGATGCTTGCTCAACGCGTAGCAATAACAGTACTCAGCCACACGGTACTGATGAAGCTATGGGAGTGATGGACTCGTCATCCTGTGGTCAAGGAGGCAGGGGAGGGTAACAGAGGTTCCTACCGAGGAAGAGGGTGGTGGCAACAGACCATGCCCACCATGCTGGAATTGTGGGTCATGAGAGCATTTTAAGGCTCATTGCCCCAAACCTGAGAAGACACCTGGCAGCAATACTGGCACCAGAGGCTCTGCTAATGCAGCAGCCAAAGATGATTCCAAGGAGGACGCTGTATTCGCTGTCAACTCCGAATCCTCCTGCTCAGTCCCTAGTCTCCTTCCACCGAATCATCAGACAATGACACTGAAGAACGATCAAACTTCATCAGTTCTGATGAAGATTGGTTTTCAGAAATAGATGAAAACAACGTACCTTCAATGAGTGATTGGGAAACTGACTTAGCAATCCCAAGCAGTGGAAGTGACACTGACTCATCCGTCGAGCTTGCCGCTGAAGTTGGAAATGGACATAGCAATGGTACCATCGCCGAGCTATACAACTCCGGTACGACGAGACATATTTCCCCGTACCGCGACCAATTCAACACCCTGACCCCCCATCCCACCTAAAACATTTGCTGCCGCAAATAAACAACATTTTGACGCTACTGGCATTGGAGAGCTCGTCATTGAAGTAACAAACAGAACAGACGTCTCCAGGCTGACACTTACCGAAGTCCTTTATTCCCCTGCGGTCAGTTACACTTTAGTATCAATCGGACGACTCAATGAACTCGGATATTCCATCACCTTTGCTGATGGGACCTGCGTTATTCAGGACCCAACTGAGGATGTCGTTGGACAAATCCCCAAGTCTGGGCGGGGGCTGTACTGCGACAGTGTTAATGCGACAGTGGAAACCATCACAGTTATGGAACTTCACAAGCGTATGGGGCATATCGCCCCATCTGTTGCACGCCATCTAGCCAAGAACAGACTCGTTTCCGGTATCAAGGTTGATCTATCCTCCGGCAAAACCACATTCTGTGAGTCTTGCGTGTACGCTAAGGTGACACGTAAGCCTATAGCCAAGGTCCGTGAGGGAGAGCACACCAAAGAATTTGCAGGAGAGGTCCACACTGACCTATGGGGCCCTGCACCCATTGCAACCCTGGGAGGAAGAAGCTATTATATCAGCTTCATGGACGACAAAACGAGACTCACCTACCTCCATCTTCTCCGTTGTAAGAGCAAAGCTTTCAAAGCTTACAAAGACTTCGAGGCTTGGTGCCACACCCAACACAATGCCCAAGTCAAAGTATTGCACTCAGACTGTGGCAGTGAATATCTGAGCAAGGAGTTTGTTAATCATCTCACAGTTGCCAGCACGCAACAGAAACTTACTGTGCACAACACCCCACAGCACAATGGGGTGGCCGAAAGACTCAATCGCACCTTGCTAGAAATGGTCCATGCTATGTTGCATGAAAGTGGACTCCCACACACCTTGTGGGGAGAAGCCATTCGCCACGCCGTCTGGTTGAAAAACTGAACCCCTACCAAGGCGCTTGAAGGTGGTACTCCCCTTGAAGCCGCTACTGGTAAGAAACCAGATCTACGCTGAGTTTGCCCTTGGGGATCTTGCATCTGGGTTTGCTTCGAGGGTGGAGGAAAGCTGAGCGGACGAGTTGCTGAAGGATGATGGGTTGGGATTGATGATGGCAGCGAAAACGGGTGCAGGGTATACTGGCCCGATAAGCGCTCAGTTTCTGTCGAGCGTAATGTCTATTGGGACACATCTAACACAGAGTCGTTATCTTGCGAGGGGGAGGAAGATGACAATGTACCTAATGCGATGATAACACCTCCATCACAGACCTCTGCAGCATCACCCAGCAAGCCATTAACCATCCCGCAAACGCCAAAAGTCCTACCTCCTTCCAAGATTCCTACTCTTCCGAATTCGCCGATACTCAAAATGGTCGCTAAACGAGTCAGAAAGCCGAGTCAGTGAGTACTGGATATCATCAAAGAAACCAGTACAGTACCTAGGGGAATCCAGTTGCCAAAGGATGTAGAAGAAGCAAGGAATGAGGGGGAGCAAGTTGCAGAGCAACTTATGGCCATTCTTGAGGATGAAGATGATGAACTTTGCTCCCTAGATTACGCTCTGGTGATCGGAGAAAAGATTGCAGAAGTGGAGGCCCTCGAACCTAGCACCTTAGCTGAGGTGAAGCGACGCCCTGACTGGGCACAATGGGAAGAAGGTATCAGAGCAGAGTTAGCGACTCTGCAAGCGGCTGGAACTTGGGAACTTGTAGACTTACCTGCAGGAGCTAACTTTGTAGGCTCCAAATGGGTCTTTCACGCGAAGAAAGACGCAGCAGGAAATGTGGTTCGCCACAAAGCCTGCCTTGTTGCTCAAGGCTTCTCCCAAGTACCTGGTGTCGATTTCTTCGATACTTACGCACCCGTTGCAAACCTATCCTCCATCAGGACGGTTCTTGCCTTATCTGCACGCTTGAACCTAGAACTTCATCAAATCAATATCAAAGGAGCATACTTGAACGGTAAACTCACTGATGATGAAGTAATCTACATGTGCCAGCCTCCAGGTTTTGAATCCGCCAAGCACCCAAATCTAGTTTGTCGCCTTTACAAAACCTTATATGGTCTGAAGCAAAGCGGCCAGCGCTGGTACCAACGACTTGTGGAGATTTTAGTGGAGAAGCTGGGATTTACGCAGTGCGCGGTGGACCAAGTAGTATTCTATAGGAGGAAGCAGAACGAGGAACACACCATCGTCGTTGTGCATGTCGATGACTGCACACTTGCAGCTAAGTCGATGGATGAAATAAGCGAGCTAAAGAATCAAATTAGGAAGTATGTGGAAATCACCGATCTCAGCGAACTCCACTGGTTGCTCGGAATCAAAGTCACATGGAATTGTGATGAACACACCATTTCCTTGTCACAATGTTCCTACATTGACTCTATTGTTCGTCATTTCAGTTTTGAGGATCTCAAGCCCATTTCAAACCCTATGGAACCCAGTACCAAGTTACATTCCGGTCAGTCACCATCCACAGGCGCTGAATTTGCGGCCATGCGACACATACCCTATAGAGAAGCTGTCGGATCTCTTATGTACACATCACTCGGAACCCGACCAGACATTTCCTATGCGGTGACAACGGTTTCCCGCTTCTCCAGAAACCCAGGAATGGCCCATTGGGATGCTGTTCGACGCATTTACCGGTACCTTCTGGGGACCAAAGACTTGAAATTGACTTACGGAGGAGTGGAAGAAGCATTGATGGGATATGCAGATGCGGACGGTAGTATGGCCGAAGACAGGAAGGCTATCTCAGGGTATGCCTTTTTGATTGACGGTGGAGCTGTTTCATGGTCTTCGAAGTGCCAAGATATCATTTCCCTTTCAACTACAGAAAGCGAATACGTGGCAGCCACCCATGCAACAAAAGAGGCATTATGGCTTCGATCTCTCATCGGAGAGCTGTTCACTCCTATCACCTAGCCCACCACCCTCTTTTCTGATAACCAATCCACTATTGCACTTACCAAAGACGACCAATACCATGCTCGAACCAAGCACATCGACATTTGTTTTCACTTCATCCGATGGGTCGTAGATAACGACAAACTTCATCTCATTTATTGCCCAACTGGGGACATGGTCGCTGACACATTAACCAAAGCATTGCCCTTGCCAAAAGTGAAGCACTTTGCCGTCGAACTCAGACTGTGCTCGCCTTGAGGGGGAGTGTTGGAATAGCAAGGGCGCTGCAGCCGAAAGTGTCCAACTGCCCATCTCGTATGTTCCTGTTATTGTTCTCACAAGTTCTTTTGTCCGCTGTGAAAGAGTAATAGCAACTCGGCTGGTTAGAAACTAGTGCTACTTATCCAAATAGGCGCGAGTGTAGTATTCGACCCAAGAGGACTGCTATTGAAGCAACTCCCTTCAAATATGCAAGGGTAGCGATAGCACGAAGGACTGATGGCCTATAGCGACCTAAGACCAAAAACCAATGAGTAGCACTGTAGCGATCAGCGACTAGCGACAAGTGAGTTCCGACAGAGAAACGTGCATATAAGTGAGTAGCACTGTGCAAGTTGTTTTGTGCAATAGTGCTATGCGACGTCTGACTAGTGACAGCGAGAAGAAATCAAAGGAAAGGAAAGCGAGGGATAAGGTAAGATAGTGCAAGTGAAATGCCTGGTAGCGACTAGATTATAGCTCGACTACTGATAGTGATCCCAATGTTGCGAAAATCAAACTTATGAGGGAACTTTAGCAACGCGCACTCAAAGCAAGTCAAGTGATGCGCAATCAGAGAGATTGGCAAGAGCGGAATCGATTGCACCAAAACTAGGATATAGCGACTAAAGTGACTCCGACACCAGCAAAGGTCCAGGGAAGGGAAGTAGTGTACTGTATGTGCGACGGGTCATTTTATCATACTGCGTAAAAGTTCAGGAATGTGTAGGCGAGAATAGTAGTGACACTGGCAAAGGCACAATGTAGCGACAGGTAATAAGACATGCAGCGCAGCGGAACACGAGGATACATGTAATAAGACCTGCAACTGATGAGTAGCGACATTTAAGGAAAAATAATGCACCAGCGGAGGTAGGTGGACATAGGCAGGACATGGGAGGACGGAATACCTAGGTGTCGGGCCGGGCAGCGCGCTATGGGAGAAAAGTGGTTCCAAAGCAGATAGCTTGGGAGTTGAATAGCGCTGATGACTAGCACCTTACTCTTTTCCTCTATGCAAGGCAAAATATGCCTATGGCACTCATACGCGCCCAGCGCTGGTATGATTGTCACACTGCTCTTATAATCTTACTTACCATTATGTATATGAATCCTTCTTGTGCTTTGGCCGGCGCCACATATACCATTGTCGTGGTCTCACACATATTCATTGATACAAGATCTTTCGTTCTATTTAGCCAGCACCTTTTCAAACTAATACCTCAGATGTTTGCCTTCGCGTGCACGATCTGAGGTATGACACTTACTTTACTTACTTTCACCTATGCTAACTTGCCTTAGAGTATCTGTTTGTCCCAGGTGAATACAATAGACATTTGCCTTTGCGTGCACAATCTGAGAGTATCTGTTTGTCCCAGATCCATGCGACTTGTATTAATCCTTTATTTCCTTTGTTTTTCTATGACACTCAGGCTCTGCTCCTGCTCCTGCCCCTCCTCTTTTTTGCTCTCCTCTCTCTCTCCAGCTCTCTGCACCTGTTTTTGCTCTTCCTTCTGCTCTTGCTCCTGCTCTCACTCCTACACCTGCTCCTGTTGTAGCTTTTGGTAAGTTTTTTTTAACTCTCTCTGGTTCTCTCTCTCTAACCCTCTTTTGCTAGCTACATCCCTTCCTTCTTCTTCTCCTAGTATTCCTCAAAATTCAAGTTTTTGACTTTTTGGTAAGATCTCTTAGATATTGTAGTTAGTATTATACGCCCATGTATTAGTTAGTGTGAATATACTTGAATTTTCACTTTCTGTTTTGTGTCATAATGCCAACAAATAGCTACTAAGAGCTATAATGCCAAGGTCATTGAAATTTTTTTGACTTGTCCATTATAGCTACTAGGAGCAATTATAGCCCTTATAAAAAATATGCTGCTGTTATGAGGGCTATAGAAGGGACTTGTCAATAATTGGCATTTATGCTATAAGAGCTATTAGGAGCTATAATGGCAAGTACACATTTTCCTGATGCACCTCCCTTCACCCATGGTGGCCACAGGAGCTCGTGTCCAATGCTCTGCGCAAGCTTCCAAAACCTTTTCCAGCATTCTACAGTCGCCTCTACCTTCTTCAGACTCTGCAGCCATTTGGCATGGAGTGGAATTAGAGGCTAGATCCGTCAAAAAAATGGCACTGTCACTACCACACTCTGAGATACGTCAATGTCATCCAGCCGATGTATTTGCCAAGCCTAGCCCACTTGTAGCATTATCGAGACATGGAGGACTCGTTTGTGATCCCTTAGTCTCTGAGACACCACTCATTAGTATTGGGCCAAACACAGATGTCGCTCTTGACCGGTTGAAGTTGGGTGATGAAAACCTGCCGAGGCTCCATTCTTTGGTTGGGAGTGTTGGCAGTAGTCGATGGGAGGCTGTACTGAGCTCTCCAGCATGGGACCTTACATATGAAAAAGCATCCATTTTGGCTAATGCCCTCCTTGCAGACTTACAGGGTATGAAGGCCATCAACCCTGAGGTCACTAATTTGGAGGTTAGTGATCTTCCATTCTTTGCATTTTTCCAAGGTTCATGTCCGACATCTGTAGCACCGATCATCAGTGCTCACTACCATTCTAAAACTTCTTGGCATTTTGCTATTTTTGTGTGTGCTTTACCTTTTTGGTTTGTTATTACTGTAGATCTCAAATGTTTGTTTCTTGCTTGCCAGTATCCAATAATGTGCCGTTTCGTCCTAAGTCAAATCATGCACTAATAAATGTTTACCTGGTGCATTAAGTAGCCTGACTAAAATTTTATTGCCTTTCATTGACTTGTCTCTCCTTTGTCTCTTGTCACCAATGGTTACCCAGTCCTTTTATGCTGACAAATGCGTGAGCGGTGCAAAGCATGTTCAGCCACCCACTCGTCAACGTGCCAAGGTCGTCCTCAGTAAAGAAGCTCACACTGCTCTGAGACTGAGCCGACGTGCCAAGTCCCTTTGATTCAAGGAGGCTTTAGACGATACCTGGAAGCAGCTGGATGACGCTGCTAAAACCATTGCCACTTCTCATCACAAAGTATTTGCCGTGTACAAAACGATTTGTACACAGGTTGGGGGCCTCTCCACTCCAAACACTCAAAGCCGAATATATGGAATGCATTTTGCTGGAAGAAGAACCAGGATAGAGAGAACCGTAATGTCATATACCATATATCCGGTTACAGATCCGATGATCCGGATCTCAGATCCGAGCCAGATCCGATGAACATATCCGTTGTCTGGTCCACAGATCCGCTTTGATTCTTATTTCATTTCCTGTTCATATAACTCTAACTATCGTTCATCTCCTTTCGGTATTCCTGTACACCGGTATACCGGTTATCCTTTACTTCCGCTTTGCTTACTGATCCGCTATGCTTACTGATCCGCTACACTTACGAATCCGCTTTTACTTGTACTTCATTCCCGGTTCATGATTCGTTGAAGGATCTTCAACTCAGCTGAGGGTGCAGCTGATATAATTGTTGAAGGGAGGAAAATATGAGTGCGATATGTTCGTCCCTTAGGGGAAGCGGAGAAAGCAAATATCCACTGGTCAACTCTAGGGGGAATGCGCAAAGTGCGTGATAAGGCGAAAGCGCGGGAACAAAGGCGCTATAGGCGCGCGAAGCGCGGGAAAGTCGCGCGTCGAAAAGCGGAACTGGGTGAAAGCGGTATGCGAGCGATAGTGAGATGGTAAGACGTGTACTGAGATGCTGATAAGACAACTGATGCGGATATGGCCACTAGAGCTAACTGCTACTAGGGCTTGCGATGATTTATTCAAAACATAATAAAAACTCAGAGATGGTGACTGTCTATGATGATGGTGGTCCCTGGTAATGTGTGTTGTGTAAAGTAAAAATGTGTAATGAAAAATGTGTACCAAGTGAAAATAAACATGGTACGATGTTGAAATAAATGATAAATGGAGAAATGCATACCTGGGAACTTGGTTGGACATGGGAAAACACAGTGGGAAGTCAGGCGCCCTATAGCGCTTAGGCGCGGGAAAATTCGCCTAAAGCGCGCGCAAGTCGCGGAAGTGTCGCCTATGTCGCGGTGCGTCGTGCGAACGTCGCTGTTTATCGCGCAAGTGTCGCGTTGCATGCATATTACTGTAGACTCGACCTATGTTGCAATATATGCCATTGTGAGGCTACTCAGGATCGAGTCTCTACATCTCCTGGGGGCTTAAATTCTGAGTGTCCCCACTCAGTGCATCAAGTGGTGAACCCAAGCGAAGTTGTGATGGGGGTATGTGATGCGAGAGGAGTGTACTGCGAGCGTGTCTGAGGCGAATGTGATGAGGCGAGACTGGCAAAACAATGGCGCGCTAGGCGCGGGAGAGGCGCAGGCGTAAGGCGTCATAGGGGCGTGAAAGCGCGGTTAGAACAGCGGAATGCGCGAAGTGACTCTGGTGTGTGCAAACACAATCAAAAGCTTGGGGATGTGATGGTGACAACTGCCTGAATGATATGGAGATGACTGCAATGAGGCGAGAGTGATGTGTGTATGCGCAGTGAATAAGGCGTCATAGGCGCGCGAAGCGTGGGAACATTCGCACTTATGAAGCGGAAGTGCGCGAATGCGGTATTCAAGTGATAGCGACTCTTCAAGATGGCGTAAGGATGCGAACTCATGATGACAATAGATGGCTGATGATGCGAGTGTGGCGTGAATGTGCTGTGTAAGGCGCGGGAACATTCGCGCTTGAGGCGCCTGAGGTGCGCAGATGTGCGTGATAAGCGCGAATGTCGCGTATGCCGCGTAAGCGTCGCATAGTGCAGGGAAGGTGAAGAGGCGAATGTCCAGTGATATCCAAGGTGTGGAAGGCGAAACTGCGTGTTGAGGAAGTGGTCCCAACCCATGTCCAAACCAAGTCCCACTAGGCGCGCTATGAAACAGGTGCTAAGGGAATGAATGACATGAGTAAAAATATAAGTGAAAAAGCGAAAGTGAAATGGTAAACTTTGCGGATGTCCTGTCCGTCTTGTCTTCTTCGTGCAACTATCAACATCTATGTCCTTCTATGCGCTAAGCGCGAAAAAAAGCGCGCGCGCGAGGCGCGTAAGGCGCGGGAATTAGGCGATAAGCGCGAGAATGAGGCGCTATAGGGGAGCATTCTAAGGTAATAATGTGCATGGTGCCACAGCATGCGTTAGAAGCGAAAATAATATCCTACTGGGTGAGGTGGGCACGAGTCTATGGGTGTTTTGTTGTTTTTCTTGTTTTCTTCTAAGCGGATCTATAAGTGTATATATCAGTGTGTTATTAGTGTTAAGGGCGATGTAATGATAATAAAAATGAAAGGTGAAAAGCGCTGGATGAAAACCAGGGTAAAACAAACTATATCCTATGAACAACATGGTATATGCTGATGTTTGCGAAATGATGGTTGAAGCGGTTGAAGCGGATGAGGCGCGAGGCGAAGGCGCGTGAGGCGACAGTGGTAGGCGACAGGAAATGATGTGATCTCATCTTCAAGACTCTGCAACAACTTCTTCAACCGGGCATGAACTGAATCTTCTGCAAACTCGCGATAGCGGCGGACTAGTGACTGGAGGGATGAATTCTTGCACTTGGTGGCGCCTATTAGGCGCGCGCCAAGGCGAGGCGAGGCGAGGGTAGTAGAGATGCACTACAGCATGATAGGCTGCAGGCGACGCTGGCACGTTAGCGCGTTTAGGCGCGAAAATGATTATATCCTCTGGATTTGCGAGGATAGGCTGATATACTGAAAACGCGTTAGTGAAAGATGAATATGAAGCAAGATTAGGCGCGAATAAGGCGCAGATGATGAGTATGGACGATTTATCAAGGCGCCATAGGCGCTTGGTCATGAATGGTTGGTGTTTGATAGAAAATGAAAAGGTGATATGGACGCGATAGGCGAAAACGCGAAAAATGCGAATAAGGACAAATGATGTGAAGTTAATTGTAATGATGGATGCTGTAGGCGGATGTGTACATGCCAGGCGCGCGCCTAAGTCGCGCCTGAATGGCTGATTGAAATATAAGACATGATGAATGCAAGGAATGCGATTTAAAAGTGATAAGGTGGTAAAAACGCGATTGAGGGAAAACTTTGGTGTAATGATGGGCGCCTTCGGCGCGAGAATTAAGGCGTTAGGCGCGCGACTGTGGCGCCTAAGTGAGGGAATGATGGTGAGCTTGATTGAAGGGGAAAGCAAAGTATTAGCAACTGATAAAAAACTCCTTGAGAGCGAAAGATGCGAAACAAGCGAAAAAGGCGAAAAAGGCGAAGGTTGAATGTACATTGCCTCTAGGCGCGCGAAACTGCACGATTTCAGGCGCCATAGGGTGCACTGGAGGCGCGTCAGGGTCGCCTGAGACATGATCTATATGGTGAGTGGGTGATGTGATGCAAGGATGTTTGACTGGCAAGCGGAAGTCACTGAAAGCAGAACACACAATATGCACGGTATTGTCAGTAACAAGCGATTTACCAGAGACAAACTCTGGTCAAGGTATGGCGCATTTTGGAGCTCTGGCACTGCAGAATGCTCCTGAATAGGCGCGCTAAAATGCGATGGGGGTTTGAGGTCGTTGTTGATGATGGGTGATGCGATCTCCTCTAGTGGCGCGTTTAGCGCGTTCGCGATAGCGGTAGGTGCTTGTACTTCTTGCTGGGGTAAAACAACTTCGTCCAACTGATCTTCTGGGTCGCTTTGAAGCTCTGTAGGTTCGCCTACAATAGGCACCTCGATATGGGCTGGTGCGAAAGCGATTTCAATGATAGGCGATGCTGGAGTAGGCGGAAGGGGAATGGTTTCGCGTGTTTCGTGTACTGGCGCCATGACTGCAACTGCTGGCTGATCTAAGGCGCGTTCTGGTTGCTGAGGTGCGCCTACGAGTGGCGCTTCATGGTGCGCTTCAAGGGGCGGAAGCGGAATAGCGGATTGCGCGCTAGTAGGGCGTGTATAGCGGCGCTCAATGCCACATTCTGGGTACATGAACAAGGCGGAATTAGCGAACTCTTCGTAGTTGTTACCTTTGTAGTACTGAAACAGCTCTCTCTCGTTAGGCGCAGTATACTTCAAGGCATACTTGATGATGTCCTTATCTGACAGCCCAAGTGGTTGCGCAAGTCGTTCTACTGACTCCAGGAAGTTGACCAGCTGAGTGTAGTCACCTCCAAAACGTGGAGCTGCACTGTATGTGCGCAAAGGCATGCCAAGGGAATCTACTGGCGCATTCATAGCGTGAAAGCGGAGGCACGTGAATCGCGAATTTCGCGATTTAGGCGGAATAGCAGGAAAAGGCGGATATGCGGATGCGCGGAATAGGCGAAGTAGCGAAGGCGGAATAAGCGGAAATGCGGAAATGCGGAATGAGGTGAAAATGCGGAATAGTGGATACGCGGATAGCAGAGTATGAGTTGATAGGTGTGGATATGCTGACTGTCCCCTCGCGGTGGGCTCCAGTTGAAGGATCTTCAACTCAGCTGAGGGTGCAGCTGATATAATTGTTGAAGGGAGGAAAATATGAGTGCGATATGTTCGTCCCTTAGGGGAAGCGGAGAAAGCAAATATCCACTGGTCAACTCTAGGGGGGAATGCGCAAAGCGCGTGATAAGGCGAAAGCGCGGGAACAAAGGCGCTATAGGCACGCGAAGCACGTGGGAAAGTCGCCGTC